CAATTTGAAGTCTCGTTCGTCTCGCACTAATCGTGTCTCTATAATAAGCCAGAAGCGCAGCTAACTTGGAGTCCAATTGCAACTGTCACTTGGAGAGCAGAGTGCAAAACTGCATTACGTATACGTAACTACACATTACGTATTCGTGAACTAGCTGCACGTAGTCGTCGGTTTGTCAAGCGCTACTAAAAATCGAACGTCCTTGGCTAACAGCGGTAGTAAGGGGAAAAATAAAACGGAGCTCAAGCAACTCAGCGACTTAAAAAAAAAAACAATTTGCTGTCAAATAAAGAGCGAACTGTTCGCCCACAAAGAAGCACAACGTAAGAACACATCGCGTGACAGCACGAAGCATGCCCCAAATGCGATGAGCATAAGAATCTATCTAAATAGAAAGAAATTCAAAAAAGCAAAGAAAACACAAGTATAAGTCAGAGTGCAGAGCGGAAGCGGAAGCAGCCAAAGGGCGGACCGACGGGGTGAAAACCGCAACTAGGATGCCATGGAAAATGAGTGGAAAATTAACAAAACGCCAACCGCGCGCATAGATAAAATTGCACGTGAAGTGACTCGCTGTGCAGACACAAGCCACTCGTAAATATGCAGGCGAAAAAGCTCCCTCGCGAAAGTCAACCCTCAGCATATATATATATATATTTGCCTGTCTTCTGTCAGCTTGGTTAGCCAGAGGCGACCCTGACGCTTGGCAAATGCAAATACTACACAAATTCTATTTGTTTTGTGTTTTTTTTCGTCTTTTTTTTTACACTAGAGTTTATAAAGTTAGCATATATATATTTTTAGTTGCGGTTAGTTTCTGGGGCTGTTTGCTTTTGAGGTTAGATTTTTGTTTTTTTGGGCTAACTACAGTAAACGGTGTTTAAAGGCAACTTTAGTACGTCCTCTAAATCGATTGCAGTAGGCACTCTCTGCTCCATCTTCGCGTAGGCCCTGTGACCTGTGCAAATGTTTTTGTTTGCATTTTTCACTTGATATTTAACTTGTTATCGCCTTTGTTTTGTCTCGTCCTAGAAGCTAAATAGCTTCTATTCTGTTGTTGCCTGCTTTCATTGCTATTATTGTTGCCAGTCATGCACAATTTATGGCTGTGCGTCAGCTGTGGGCGTGCCCCCTGTCACCACCAGCAGCAGCAGCAGCAGCATTTTTAATGAATTCTATTGATTGGCCAGACCCAGCGCAGACCAGTTTATAATGCCTGTCATATAAGGTCGAAGGTCAGTGGGGGGCGCCGCTGCTGCTACTTCTGTTGCTGCTTTACATTAAACGTCAAGCTGCAAGCGAAAGCTCACTTGGAGCAGAAATTGCTATTGATTTGCATTCTATTAGCAAATGAATGGACAACAGCCGCCTCCGAAGCCGGCGGTCTCTCTTAAGTCTCCTGCATAATTCAAGCAAATTAAAGCGAATTTTTTACTATATAAATATAGATTAGCTAATGCAGCTGATTGTAAATGCATAACGAATAATTGTTAAACGTGACAGCCAAAGCTATTTCTTTTTTATGAATATTTAATTTGCGGTAAGAAAGCCAGTTCTTGGATATTGAAGCTAATCGTAGATAATTATATTAAAATTTAAGTAAACTTCGACATCCTGTTACAACTACAAGTTTTTTTAAATATATAAAATATTTATCAATTTTATTTTTTTTTCTTCCATAAACTTTTTTAAGGCGAAGCCTTAAGCCATAAATTTTGTTTTTGATACTTAGAAAATGTCTAATTAAAAATTAAAGCAAAGTTTTTAATAGACAAAAAAAACTTGCATGAAACTAATTACAAATGCAGAACAAATGGTTATGGTTGAACATGACAGCCAAACTTGTGTTTGATATAAATATTTAAGTGGAGCCAAGAAATGAAATTCTTAGACCTTGAAGTTGTGTAAATTCGTAGGCAGTAAAAAAAATCTAGCCTAATTTTAATTATCGTATAGAATTCAATATATTTTAAGCATTGCTTATATAGATTTTTTAATTATGTATTTTTTTCAGATCTGTTACTATTTATTATTTAATTCAACTATGAATAATAGAATGAATTATTTTTATTCATTTTCGTATTTAAATTTTATTGTATTTTGTCTAGAGATAAAGCAATTTGTACTAAAGTAAATCAAATATTTACTTTAAGGATTCCTCATTAGTAAAACTCTCACAAAATGCAATGCTAATTAGAGCTGAAATATGACTTTGCTCAAGTACCTTAAATAACTCAAACAATAATGAAAAGCTTTTCGTATTGTAAATCCAATACGTATCAAATAAATCTCAAAGATAAACCGACAGCGCTATGCAATGCACTTGAATGAAACTATCCATTACAAATTGCCAATGAAGGGGAGAAGCGCAGCAGCATCAAACAACATTCACAGCCACACACACGGACAATGAGCAGGAGGAGAGAAGTTAAACAGAGATGTGGCGCCATGCGCCTCTGGCCACATATCATTGTGGCATGTTCATTATGTGAGATGCCCACTCTTTCTCTCTCTCTATCTCTGTCTCTCTCCTATCTGTGCCTGTGTCCGGCTCTAATTTACACGCCCACATAATGTGGTACCAGATGCTGCTGGCTGGTCGTACGACTGCCGCCAAGTTCATTCATTTTGGCATTCATTGATGGCAACTGGACTTGGCAAAAGCAAACTGAGCGAGCGATGTGGGCGACGCTGGACGCCTGCACTGGGCAGGCCTAAGTGCAATGCAACAGACACCAGAGGCACGCACACCTCCACCTGCTGCTGACGCGGCATGCAAATGCAGTGCAAACAACCAGAAGAGGAAGAGCAACGACAGGCAGCAACAAATAGCTGAATGCAAGGCACATGCCACAACCCAAAAAGAACAAAAACAAAAAACCAACAAACTGAAAAAAGTTTGTCCAGCAACAAAAAGTAGCAAAATATGACAGTGGGCACACTCAGTGTGGCGGCATCGTCTGAGTTATTGTGGCTTTGGCCATTCCAGCCAGTGGATGTTGATGTTGTTGTTGTTGTTGCTGCTGTTGACATTTGCAATGCTGCAGCAGCAGCAGCAGCAGCAGGAAGCGGGGAGCTGCATGGCTGGGAAGTGCTGTATGTCGCGCGAATGGCAGATTTTCTGCAGTTTGTCGGCCTTTTGAAGTTCGGGCAAATTGCACGACAACGTTGCCGCCTCGCTGTCTGCGACAACACACAGACAACAGGCCGGCAAGCAACAACAACAGCAACAACGAACGTTTAATTTCATTTTTATTCAAAGTGAAATATAAAAATTAAAAATGGCATTTAACGCGCGCAACTTTGTCGACTGTCATAAAGCGAGACATGTGCCGCAGCGCGTTGAATGTGGGCGACGGGAGCGGAAAAGGTGGGCAGGACGGAGGTGCCAAGAGGTACTGGTGCCAGGTGCCAGGTGCCAGGTGCTGCTGCTGCTGCTGTAGCTCTCATTTGATGTGGCCAATATTATGGCTAGGGCGTTGGGCGTTGGCTGTTGCTATTCCTGTTGCTTTGCTAACTTTGACGAGGCTCGTGCGCTCTTGAGTAGCATTAATGTTTGATGTTGTTGTGCGCTAGAAGCTCTCGGCTGTGGAAATTAGAGCTGCGACACGGCGCATTTTGCATGACCTGTGTGACAGGCGCTAGGGCAGTCAAAAAGGTTTAAAGCTCGCCCGTTAAAGAGATCAACAAACGCAGACGAAACCCTAAGGGCAGGCAAGAGAATATGAAATGCGTAAAGAAAATATTGTGTCTATCTAGACTATTAAAAGAAAACAAGAAATAAATTCTCTGGCAGACACAAAGGACTGCAGCAACTTTGCAATATTATCCAAACATATCAAGCATACGTCAGGTAAACCATGCTCCTATTCACATTACGTATACGTCAAGAGCGCCCGTGATAAGGGTACGCAGTTTCTTAGAATTCTCTGTATGTGGATGTGTGTGTGTGAGATAGTTTATTGTTTGATACATCAAGCATACGACAGGTAAGGCGAAAAATCAGTTCAACAGATTCGAGAGAGCAAAGTTTTTCAAATTAAATTTCACATGAATATTGCGTATACGTGACGTAACGCATGCTGTGTATGGGTTTCATATTTCAAGCGCTCGCAGGGTAAAGTGCGAAAAATGTTTAGTTAAACATTAAGCATACGCCAGGTGGCACAGCTTTAGGACGGGAGCACATATATTTCGTATGCGAAACGTTGGCAAATTATTAAATATTGATGCAAAAAATATTTAAAAATATACAAAAACAATGAAAAAAAAAATAAATAAAAAAAATAGAAAAATATACATATAACAAAAGAATATAATAAATCAATTACAATAAATGAATTTTAATATTTATTGAATATTTTACAGCTCGTGTCAAATTTAAATATTTATATAACAAAAAATTAAATAGATTTAATTAAATTGCAAAGCCTGATCTATTAATACATTCATTGTGCAAATCGTAATCAAATTACGTGGACGCCTCGTCGCTCTCGACATTTTGATATGTTATTTATAAATTTCAACACTCGAGTGCCAAAGTTTAATTGCCAAATAAATTTTAATGTAAATAAAAATGTTGTGAATGTGTTTGGCAATTGAAAATGTTTACAAAAGTTTTACATTTCACCTAAAAGTTAATTAAAAAAAAAAAAAAAAAAAATATGAACAAGACTTAGCCAACTAATTGACCAAACAGAGTTATGTATATATACATATATGATGATATATAATGCATATATATTTACGCAACTCTCTCCACATGTGGGCAATAAAAAGCAAGTGTGTGTATGTGTGTGTCTTCCTCTTCATGTGTGTGTGAGAGAGTGGGTGTGCGCGTGTAATCAGTGTGAATTATGAGAATATGCGAAATGTTGTTTAGTGTAATCATGATATATAGATATATATTATATGTAATTATATATATAAAGTATTCTCTGTGAGGTGCATAGGTACGCTTATAGACTAGTAAGAAATAGTAGTAAAAAATGTGAACGCACTTGGTTGAATCTCACCTGTGCTCAGGGTGTAGTCCCAGCTGGTGTCTGTCTCATTCTTATAAACATTCAATTTCTCCGGCTATAAAAATGGACACATTTTGATTAAGTATATACAACTATAGAAATATGATTGGATCATTTGGGGAACTCACCTTGGCAAAATCAATTTTAAGAGTGCAGCATCCGGCATAGATGTCGGCTCCATTGAGATTCTCGCGTGCACGTGTAGCCGCATCGAGGCTATCAAATTCAACCATGGCCTGAACGCCGTTCTTTTTGAAGATGACAATGCGCAGCACTTGGCCATGTGGATTGCAAATTTTATGCAAGACATCCTGCAAGAGACAAAACGAGAGTGAGACAGAGAAACCAAACGAAATTAAAATTGAGATTGAAGCCAGTCGAGAGTTAACATCAAATTGAAAGCCTCTGCCGCTGTCGCTGCCGCTGGCAGCCCAACTGTCTGTCATATGCAGGCCGGCCATACAACCCGACCGCAAAAAATGGAAAACTCAGAAAAAAGAGAACCAAACAAAGCAAAAACAGGCCAAAAAGCTGCCAACGAGTTTTCTGCCCCAACCCCCCGCGGCAACCTCCCCCACTGTCCTCTGACTAATTAATAAACGAGCACCATGCAGCAGACACAAAAGCAACAACAGCAGCAACAGCAACAGAAATGACAACTGCAAAAAATGGCTGCAGTCACTACCATACACACACACACACACACATTCACATATACAGTCTGACTGACATTTCAGTAGAAACAATTCTCAGTCGAGCTGCAAATAACACGGCATTCCGAAACGGTTCACAAATGCTAATTTGCTATGCAGGAAAACACACAGCTTTTGAGATTTAAAGGAATTTTGCCTTGGGCGTTTTATAAGCTAATCTCTTTTTGATTGTTTCGGAGCTAAAGCAATTTATATAACGAAGCATTCATTAAAGCTGAATCAAGATATAAGTGTTTTGTTATGGATCGGCACAGTGAAGACAGTCAAAGCAGCTGCAGCTGTTTCCTTTACAAATATTTCTTAGTTTCTTTTTGCAGTGTAACTAAAATTGTAAGGGCAACATAGATAGTCAAAAATTTATCTTTTATATATTATTTGGTTCATATTTATATTTCACGATTTATTTTAGGCACCAGCAAGCGACAAATATGTGTTGCTGCTCGCTCCGATGAGATGTTAATACGTTAGCCTATCGATATAAGAGGAGCTGCAGTATTTAAACGCTAATTAATTGTGATCTTAGAATATTTAGCGAGCAAATTCCACTCGTAATGTCCTCCATGCAGAACTAAGAACTAAAGGTATGCTCATATATATATAAGTATATATTATACATATTTATATATTCTATAAGCTATGATAAAATTGTATATTCAATTTGATATCTCACATATAAAATTTCATATATTTATTTATATTTGTAAATATTTCAACTGAATTAAATCTTGTTAACAAGCTGTGCTGCAACTAAAATTTTCATTTTATAGCTTCACAAATGCCACACAGAATAAATGCAAAAACAAAACATTGAGCGGAAAATATTGTCGAAAACTTTTCATCGTATTGTTGAGCCCGGTAAATTAATTTTCAAGAATATTTAATCTTCATCCGCTTTTGCTTTTCCCATTTTATGATAAATAAAAATAAATAATAGGAGCACATTTAAAGTTCTCTGGCATCTGTAGTTAACTGCTTTGTTGCGTGCTTTTCTTTTTTGGCCCGTTAATTGGAATTTTTCGTTTGGTTGGCTTACAGTTCGCCTGCCTCGGCCGGCCCGCCAGCCTAGACCCGAAAAATTGTTGGCATTTTCACTGACAGTTGGCGTTGGTAAAACTCATTAGCATAATTTAATAAGCAGTTATTGTCTAGGGCCAAGTGCGAAAGAATTTTCAGACAGAGCACAGCCGAAAGTACATTTTCCAATTAACATTTATAAATTTTCGAAAATTACGTTAATGAGTTTTCCAAGCAGCCGCCAGGCAGTGCGACGTGTCTTAAGACCTAATACTATAAATATATATTTATGCCTACGTATATACATATATATCATAATTTATATGTATATGTATTCCTGAATTGATGGCAAATTATAATGAGTTGCTCTTGGCATGGAAATTTATGCTAAATTTAAGCTGGAAAATGTTCGTCTTCGTCTCATTTCGCTGCGTGCCTATTTATTCATTTAAGAGCACAAAATATTCACAAGGCGACCAGGATGTTTCTCCCCATAATGGGTTAAATGTTCAATTTGCAGAAGTTTTCCTGCTGAGGGAATGGGGGCCAGAAGTGGATTCACTCTCTCATTGTCTTTCAGGCGGCGCATAAATCTTGTCGAGAGCGCTGGGGCTAAATATATTTTGTTATTCATGAAATTCATCGATAAGTCGGGCACAACAAATTTGGCGCTCTTGTTGAAAATGTTTGCACAGATTTTCCAATCAACAGCACGAAGAGGACGATTTGGGGTGGGGCCGGCAGTAATTGACAGCACAAAGAATGGCTGGGCGTTGCGAGCGGAGGCTTGATTAAGTGGCTTATAAGAGCCAGCCTAAAGAATTTGCTTTATGCTTTTCGTTTTTTCTTGGCGTGTGGTTGGCTTAGCACAAAATGAAGATTAAAAGGCAGGCCTTAGGGCGGTTTCTGCCCGTTAGCAGGGATTACTTTTAATTTGTTGCATTGCCTGGTAGCAGTTGGCTAGCACGAAATCTCACAGCATAAACAAGTTATTGATGGAAACAGACAAATTTTAAAGTCAATTTATGAATAAACTAATCAATTATTATGCTTAGCCTCTGCTCGCTATCCCCTCTCTCTCTCTCACTCTCTCTCCCTTTTGTATGTATTAGAAATTAATGCAATGCTCGACTGCTTGGTTTTCAAATCTTCTTTGGCTTCACTGGCTTTTGAAGTGTTTGCCATGGCACTGGAAAATTGCTTTGCATTAATTAGCGTATCTGGGCAGACTCGCACACACACACATACACAACTGTGACTACACTTGAGTCATATTTAATCCTATCCAATTACCAGAGAACAATGAGAGTGCGGTACATACACTCAAACTACAAAACTGACGTTGACTGCCATGATAACATAATCACGCATTTGTCCACTAGGACAATACATACACAACTTGAGACGGTCAGCCTTTCAGCTTTTAGCATATCAGAAAGCAGCACGCGCCATCCATTCATTCATTCATTCATGCATTCACACATTCACTCAGTGAATAAGCTGTCTCTCTCATTAAGCAGACTCATTTATTTCTCTTGCACTTTTCTCAGCTGCTCAATGATTGCGACATTTACAATAATTGCGCACATTTCGACCGTCCACCCACATGTCCAGCCAAAGAGCTAGCTGGTCTAGACTTGGTGTAAATTGCAATAAATGCTGGAAAATTGTGGGACTAAAGAAGGAAAATAAAATAAAATAATATCAAGTTGGGAGCAGTCAGCAGCCAGCAGCCAGCAGCCAGCAACTGGCAACTCGGCCAAGAAGTAAAATGCATAACTATAAAGCGCACTGCCAGCAAAAACTAATTAGAAAAGTTCTGCGGCGCAGGCGAACGAAGTCGAAAGGGGAAATACTTGTTTTTCTTTCAATGAAACAAGCTGTGGACATCACAGCAGCTGGCAAGTGTTGTGGGTGGTTGTGTCTGTGTGTGTCTGTGTGTGTGTGTGTATGTGTGTGTCTCTGCTCTCTCTCTTTGTATGCGAAGCGATGAGCAGGCATTATTAATAATTAAGTAATAGAACACACACTTTAATATGCTTGCCTAGTATGTATGGCGTGTGTGTGTGTGTGAGTTAGTAAATGAAAATGTGGCTCATAAAACAGCGAAGGAAGTGACTAGCACCCAAGGACCTGCTGTTTTACCATGAATTCACTATGAATATTTAACCAACATAGGAATAATTATGGGGAATAAGTGCTAGAAATATATTCCAAATTGATTGGGCATGATACCGTTATGTTGTGATCAAAGAAATTTGAAAAAGTTACAATTATATACTCATATATCCTACCTAATATATTATGATTAAATTTGATTTATTATGATTACAATTTTATATATATATTTTTTTTTTATTATTAATTATATTTTATTTATTAGATATTAAAATTTGTAATTTGTATTTTATCGAAATATAATTGGCTATATTTTATTTATTATTATTATATGTTATCACTTATATATTTTTTATTGTATTTTATATTTTTTCTTTTGATCTTTTTATTAATATACATATATGAATATGTAAAACTTTTATTGATTTCTTCACATATATAATAGTGTTATAATTCATTTATCATTATTAATTTAATTATTTATTACTATTTATATATACATTTTTTGTAACTTTAAATGTTTTTTAATATTTTTCTTTCCTTTATTTATTTTTATATTTCAGTTGTCTTCATTTCTTTTTAAACACAAGCTTGGAAAAGCGACGCAAAAACTGCTGAGGAAGTATTCATTTGAATTCAGAATTTCAGCTCTTAAATCATTTTTAGACATATACAAATTCTTCTTTCAATTGCTCGGCGGTTGCCGCACATAAATTAAACGAAACAGTAAAACAAAAATAGAAAAACATTTTCAATTTTCCATAAAACGGGACTAAGCCAAATATGATATATATGTATATGTATATAAACAGAACGCGCTTAATTCCAGCTGCTTGGGACTGTAGTTGAGGAGGGTCGATTGCTTTGCTGACCCACTGTCAAGCTGCAGGCCAACAGCGAAAATAAATACATAAAAACTTAAGCACGAGCCAGGCGCTAAAATTAATAAACAGAACATAACTAATGCAAAAGGCGTGAAAATAAAACTGAGAAAAAGAAAATAAAATACTACCAGAAAAAAATAAATGAAAAACAAGAGAAAACGCAAATAAAACGCGTCAGAATGAAAATGAAAATATTAATAACACGTTCTCTAAGCGAGTGATGGCGAGATGGACTGCAGAGTGGGTGGCGAGGTAGTGCGGCAGATAGATAGGGCAGTGGCGAACATGAAACAGTTATTTAAAAATAAGTGCTCTCTGGCGTACGTACGTTTTATGAGCCACTATAACTGTGCGCTGCAATAGCCGCAAGGATACGACGTGCCCCAAAACAACAAACGGAACAAAGCAACAAAAAAATGTTATACAAAAAAAAAAAGAAAAACAAGAAAAGAAAAAAATAAATTAATATTTTATCTAGCGCACAGATTCTACATGCAATGCCACCGACCACGCCCATTGCCCCACCACAGCCGGCACCGCCCACATGCATTTTGTTTGGCCATTTTATGGCCATCATCAAAA